TGATAATAATTCTACTACTTCTCATCCATCCTCCCTAATACATCCTCCCTCCCCCCTCCTCCCTCCTCCCTCCTCCCTCCTCCTACTCCCCATCCCCCTTCTCCGCTTTCTCCTCCTCCTCCTCCTCCTTCTCCTGCTCCCAGCCCTCCTCCTCCTCCTCCCTCCTGCCTCCTGCATCCTACCTCCTCCCTCCTCCCTCCTCCCTCCTCCTACTCCCCATCACCCTTCTCCTCTTTCTCCTCTTCCTCCTCCGATTTCTCCTCCATCCTCCCCCGTTTTGTGGTATGACGGCTTCCCTGGCCCGTTTTTCCACTTTTACTCGCACTCCCCGTCCCGCTTACTGAGGCCCGTACTTCCCCCAGTCATCCCTCCTCCTATCCCTCTAACCCTTCCCCCTCCCGCCTCGCCCTCACCCTCCCTCACACGCCAGCACATTCCCCCTCCCTGAATCCCTCCACCCCCCTGGCCTCCTGCCCTCCCCCTCCTCCCTCCCCTGGGTGTGGCCCGGCGTCCAGCGCGCCCTCCCCGAATCGCACTGGGCTGGCTCACCAGGCTCCTCCTCCAACTCGTTTATGAAGCAGCAGGGCTCCTCCTCCTCCTCCTCCTCCCTCCTCCTCCTCCTCCTCCTCCTCCTCCTCCTCCTCCTCCTCCTCCTCCTCCTCCTCTTGCTCCACTTCCCTGTCTTTACAAAGAATCCTTAATCCTCATCCTTCTCCATGTCCTCCTCCTCCTCCTCGCACCACCAGACGTGTTGGTAGGGCGGTCCAGGCGGTCGGCCCAGGGCTTCCCAGCCATGTATGACTCCGGAGCTTGAACTCCCAAAACTTACACGGATGGGAGACGGGCGGCTTTCGTCAAAATGTGGCTCTCGCGCCGCACCGCGATCCTTCGCTCTAGAAGCCCTCAACAGCCGCAAGGATGGAGGGCACGTCGTTTTCAACATGTGGCTCTCGCCTTAACGCCACGAGCATTGGTCTTGACAGCCTCCAACGGTCGCAAGGGTGGAGGGCGGGCAATTTTTCAAAATGTGGCTCTCGCCTTGGCGTAGCGGGCATTTATCTTGAGCGATTGTAGCTGTCAAGAAATGAGGGCGGGTCGTTTGAAAAATGTGGCACTCGCCTCAGCGCCACACGCATTCGTAACAAAAGCCCCCAACTGTCACAAGGATGGAGGACGATTCATTTCAAACATGGGGCTATCGCTACCGCTTGAGGTTTCCCGAGTTCGTGCGACCCGAAATCTGATAAATGCCACACATGCAGAAACAGAAGGCGGTCCCTTTTCAAAACGGGGCTCTAAGTTGAGATTTCCTCAAAAATACAGCCCACGGCCCCACGTGTAACAGCTACAAGGATGGAGGGCCGTTCCATTTCCCAAACAGGGTTCTCGCCTGAGACTTCCTCCGAATATACGACCCGACGTGTAACACTGTGCAACAAGTATACGGATAGAGGGAAGACCCTTGTCAGGACGGGCTTTCGCTGGACACGCCCTTGATGTTTCTGGTCCTATCGCGTTCCACAAGGCGGTTCCTTTTCAGTTCGGGGCTCTCGTCTGATGGCAGGCCCGTGAGCCCGTCGCCTTTCCAAAGGGATCTCCCCTTGGTGAATAGGAATGCCTGCGGGGACTTGTTTAGGAGGCAACTACTGGGAGGTCTTCGTCGGAAGGACTAAGGAGGATTAAGCCCTGTTGGGGGGCTGTCACGCCAGAGTGGGCCTCGGATTTGGCCCGATTAAGCGAGATTAAGCCGGATTGAGCCAGATTAAGCTGAATTTCGGACCAGGGCAAAATCAGGATTTGACCTCCCAGGAGTTGCATCCAAAACTTGTGACCAGAAGACTTGCCACAGAAGAGTGCATTACAGCATCGTTGATGCATCCTGGGTTTACTCTCACTCTCCTCGCCCTCCTCCTGTCGGGCGCAATCTGACATGGATTTGGGATCCGTGGATCTGGCGCGTTGGCGGCAGATCCGTGGATCGAGGAAGGTACCCCCGAAACACCACGCCAGTGCCGGCTAACTTGGCGACGGAGCCGACATCGTATGGAGACGAGACCATCGCTAATCCACACGCTTTCATGCATGGTTGCGCTTCCCAGATCCTGCTGCCCCTCCACCTCATCCTGACTAACACGAACCACAAAGGCATGGACATAGAATTTCGGAACTCCGCGCGGAGTTCTTGGACCGGCGCTGGGCTCCCCTCCCTGGCGCGCGGAGCGCGTTAGGGGCAGCGCCGGAGGCGACGCCATGGTGGCCCAGCGAGGATCCGACAAATCCGCGCGGAGCTGCGAAAGTTTATGCTGTGCCGTTATTTCTTCTTTGACGATCCTCCCCTATCGCCCTCCTTCTTCCTCCTGGGATGGTGCGGACGAGCCGCGCCGCGCTGGGTCAGAAGGCCATGCCGATGAGCATCGTAGTAAACCCGGGGCCGCCGCCAATAGCGCTGCTGCTGGAGTTGGCGTCGCCCTCGGTGCACGGCGCTCTGGTCATCTCTCGCGAGGTAGGAAGGGACGAGGCGTTCGACGACTGCTCATCCGAGGGAAGGGGGGGAGGAGTTATTTGACATTCAGTTAGACTTGCACGAATTGCATGCCACATTAACAAGGGGAGGGAGAAGACGGAGGAAAGCGAGGGAGGGAAGAGGGAGGAGAATGGATGGACAAAGGAAAAGGGAGGTGGGGGAGGTGTACATGGAGCGGTTCCAGCCAGGGGCCAGGGGGTCTCAGAGGGTCTCAGGTATCTGGTGGGTCTCAGGGCGGGAGAGTACGGGGGAGGGGATGCCAAAGATAAGTGTGAGGAAGGAAGGAGAAGAGAAGGGGGAGGAGAAGCGGTACGAGCAATACCCAACGCCACCCTATGACTGCAGTGGAGCTGCGAGGGTTCCCTCCCGTACCCCCCTCCCACTCATCATGTCGCGGTGCACTGCCCTGAAAGCCCTGAAGGGCTGGGGGGGCGCATACATTATCGCACTTACATCGCCTCCACCCCTGTCCTCCCCTCTCCTCATTCCCAGTCAACTCCAACTCCCCCCCTCTTCGGCAGGGTTCCCCTCCTCCTCCCCCTTCTTCCCACCCCTCCCAGTCCTCTCCCTCCAATTCCGCCCCTCCCCCTCCAGCCCCATCCCCTCCCCCTCTCCTCCTGGAGCGAGAGGCGGAACGCCGCCTGCGAGCGCTTGAGGGTGCCCTCGCCGCAGCTGGTCAGGAGGACCCCGATGAGCAGACTCAGCACCGTGCGCGCGTCTTGCCAGGCCTCGCACCTCGAGGGGAGGCGACGACGGCGACGACGACGGCGACGACGACGACGACGACGACGGCGACGACGGCGGCGGCGACGACGACGCCGAAGATGAGGACGACAACGAGAACAAAGGCGACGGCGGCAGAACGAGGGCAGTGCCCGAGCGAGCGGCGGTGCGCAGATCCCTCCTCGTCCTGCGTCCGCCAGGGGGGGGGGCTGCCGGGGCGCCTGCTGTAGTCGCTGCTGGTCGCGGGCCTGCCCTTGCAGGTGCGGAAGCTGAGGCCGCCTTGCCGACAGCGGATGGATGAGCACAAAGCGGAGTCGTTGCGTCGAAACACACGGGCGAAGAGGAAGGCACAGGGAGGAGGAGGAGGAGGAGGAGGAGGAGGAGGAGGAGGAGGAGGAGGAGGAGCTCCTCCCGAGCCGCTCTCTGCGGGCCATGCGGGCAGGGCCCCTGGGAGGCCAGAAAGAGCAACGACCGAAGCAGGGCCTCAAGATGGGCGCAGGGCGGCCCAAGAGAGCCCAAGAGGGGCTCAAGAGGTCTCAGGAGTGGCCCAAGAGCCGCAAGAGGGCCGCAAGATGGCCGCAAGATGGCCTCAAGATGGCCGCAAAATGGCCACAAGAGAGCCCCAAGAGGGGCCCAAGAGGCCCCAAGATGGCCCCAAGATCGCCCAGGAACGCCCCGAGGACGCCCCACGTGGACCCAAGAGGCGATGTCGACGGCCCCCGAGGGGGCCTTGTTTCTCCCCAGTTGGGCCTTACTTAAGGGATCCTTACTTGGTTAAAGATTGGTCCCTCCTATTCTTACGTGGCCAAATTCCTCGGAGGTTCCACCGGTTCCTCGGGTTTCGTTCCAAAAAGCCGAAGATTGCCTCCAGACGGCCCCCAAGACTCTTTGAAAAGTACTATGAAGCGCTCCGCGAAGGCCCTCCAGAAGCAAAAAACGTCTCTTTCCCCAGGGAAAAAATGCATGTTCAGCACATTCGCCTTTTGGGCTTCCACGCGGCCCACAACGGTCCAAGAAGCCTCCAAGATCGACCCTCCGCAGCCAAAGATGCTCCCAAAAAAGGCTCTACGACGGCTTCCACGCGATCCACGAAAGCTCCAGAAACCATAGCAACGGCCCGGGAGAGCCGCAGGACGGTCCCAAGAGGGCTCCAAAACATTTCAACAGGGTCCCCCAAGGCTGCCCAAACGGCCCACTCGGGGGACGATTCGGTCCAAACCGCCCAAGATTGCCTCCAGACGGCCCCATTGGCCCCCAAGACGTTTGAAAACGCGTCCACGAGGCTCTCCAAGAGGGCCTGCAGAAGCAAAAAATCGTCACATTCCAAAAGGAAAACGTACATTATCAGTACATTCGTCTCTTGGGCTTCCACGAGGCCTAGAACGGCCCAGTAAACCTCCAAGTTCGACCCCCGACACCCCAAGAGGTTTTCAAAAAGGCTCCACGACTGTTTCTGTGCGCAACACGAAGGCCTCAGAAACCACAGCAACGACCCAGGACAGTCACAGGACGGTCCCACGAGAGCCCCACAACGGGCCAAGAGGGTCCACAAAGGCACTCTGGACGGCCCACGAGGGGGACGATTCGGTCCAAACCGCCCCAGCTTGCATGCAGGCGATGCCCCATAGGGCCCCGAGACGTTTGAAAAAGCTACTACGAGGCGTTCCACAAGGCCTCCAGAAGCAAAAATCGTTCCATTCCCTGGGGGAAACATACATTTCCAGCACACTCGCCTCTTGGGCTTCCACGAGGCCTACAACGGCCTCAGAAGCATCCAACATCGACCCCCTGCAGCCCCAGAGGCTTTCAAGAGGGGTCCAAGACGGCCTGCGGGCGCCCCCCGAAGGCCCCAGAAACCATAGGAGCCGCCCTGGAGAGTCGCAGGACGGTCCCAAGAGGGCCCCACAACGGGCCAAGAGGGTTCTCAAAAGGCCTCCTGGTCGGCCAAAGTCGTTCAACAGTGCCCCCAGTCGTCCAACATTGCCTCCCGACAGCCCTACAGGCCCCCAAGACGCCTCAAGACGCTACCCAGAAGCGTCCCAAAAAGCCCTCCTAAAGCAACAACCGTCCCATTCTCGATGGAAAGCACATCTTTCCAACACGTTCGCCTCTTGAATTTCACGCGGCCCCTGAAACCCCTTGCACGCCCCAATACGCCACCAGGACGCGGCCCAAGAATCCCTCCACAAGCAAACATCGGCCCGTTCCATAAGGGAACCGTCCAAGATTGGCACATTGGCTTCTTGGCATTGCACGAGGCCCACAGCAACCCAAGAGGCCCCCAAACCAATTCAAGGAAACCCCAAATGCCTCCAAGAGGGCTCCCGAAACGAGCCAGAAAGGTCAAAAGAAACTCCCGAAACGGTCCAAGAAAGCTACGAGTCGACGAGGGATCGTTCCACAACGCCGAGGATTGCCTCCAGACGGCCCCAGAAGCCCCCAAGACGCCCCACGAAGCCACCAAGACGTCCTCCAGAAACAAAAATCGTCCCATTTCCTACGGACAAAACGTATAGTTTAAACACACTCGCCTCCTGGCCTTTCACGAGGCGCAAAACGGCCCAAGAAGCATCCAAGAGCGACCCCTGATAACCCAAGAGGCACCCAAGAAGGCTCCAAGACGGCCAGCGAGGGCCCCGCGAAGGCCCCAGAAACAACCGCAACGGCCCAGAAGAGCCGCAGGACGGCCTCAAGAGGGCCCCAAAATAGGCCAAGAGGGTCCCCGCAGGCCTCCTGGACGGCCCACGAGGGTTACGACTGGTCGAAAGATCGCTCCAAGACGCTCCAGATTGCCTCCCGGCGGTCCCACAGGCCCCCAAGACGGCCCAAGAAATCGCCTGGACAGGTCCCAAGAGGCTTTCCAGAAGCAAAAGGCGTTTCATTTTCGATGGACAACATACATTTCCAGCACGTTCGCCCCATCGGCTTTCACGAGGCCCACAACAGCCCAAAAAGCCTTCCAGATCGACCCAATACGACCCAAAAAAGCTCCGACAAGGACTCCAACACAGCCCAAATGCCAGAAGGCCCCAGAAGCCACCGAACCGCCCCCGGACGGCCCCAGGTCGGCCCCACAAAACATGCCAAACTGATTCCTACAAGGTTCCCCCGATGGCTCGAGAGCGCGAAGTACGACTCGTGAGGAGATCGCTCCCGGACGCCCGTCAATGCCTCCAGCTGACCCCCTGAAACCCCCTAGACGCCCCAACACGCCACCAGGACGCGTCCCAACAGGCCCGGCAGAACCAAACCTCGGCCCCTTCCCGAAGGGAAACGTCAAAGTTCAACGCATTCGCTTCGTGAGCTTCCACGAGTCCCACAGCAGCCGAAAGAGCCTTCAAAATCAACCCAAAACCCCCGCGCGCCCCCAAGAAGGCTCCCAGACGGCACAAGGAAATCCGAATGGAGATTCGAGCACTTCGCTCCGAGAAAACATGAAAGGGCGCCTAAATGCACCCCAGAGGCCCTCACGGGAATCCACAATGCCCACGAATGACCCTGGGGCCCGGAAGCGGCCCTTCGACGACGGGAACGAGAACCACGAAAAAACTGAAACGACTAAGACGCTGCAACCAAATTCTTCTCCTTCCCCACGCAGAAATCGTTCGCCATGGGCCCCCCAGACCCTTCCAGGAATCCACTCGCAATCGTTCTCCCAAATGCATCCAGCCGCGGCGACAGGGGAGGGGCCTGGAACCCCCCCAACCACAACAAACCTCCCGAGTCCGACGAGCTACTCCGCACAAACTCGTTCCCCGAACCTCTCCCTGGGTCCGCCGATGCCATTTCTCGCCCCAGGTCCGTTCGGTTTTGAACGAAAGGGGCCCAGCAACGGCCCCGGGAGACCTAAACCTATCAAAAACAAAAACTGTTCAAACAAAAAGCTCTGGAAAGGCGGCTGGAACTGCCGCGGGCATCTACCTCGATCGAGCAGAAGAAGAGGAGAAGAACGAGGAGGAGGAAGAGGAGGAGGAAGAGGAGAAAAAAAAAAAAAACAAACAAAAAAAAAAAAAAAAAAAAAACGTCGTGACCGCCGAGGTCTCACAGATTTTCGTGGTCTTTCGACCGCCTGAGGCATCTCCTCGAATTGAGCCTCCAGGAACCGTTTTCGGTGCCCGGGGCCACAACCGAGGGTCTGGGATGAGGATCGACCTCCCTGGCCGGTGCCACCCCTTCGCAAAGGAAGGAACACGGGGTCGATCGAGGTTCGAGGCATGAGACTCCTAGTTCTTGGGCGCTCTCCGCCCCCTCTG